AAGTTTTAAATTAGAACAAATGGAACAATGATAGTACCTCAGAAAGCAATACAGAGACCAGTGAGGCGATATTTCAAGAGGAGAAGTCTGAGTTTAATCTTGTGACATTGAGTTTGAGGTAATGGTGAGACATAAAAATGAGAGTGTTGACATTTCACTGGTTATTTGATTCAGAATGTATTCACTTGAGGCCTGCTATGTTCCTGATGCTGCCAGGGGGACCAGGCAGTAACGGTGGGCAAGACACACACGGTCCCTGCCCTCACTGAGCTTCACATGGCAAGACAGAATGGAACAAGGCGCTGCAGTTAATCAGGTGCGAATTCAGATACTGAAAATTCTCGCTTCTTACAAACCCGAGGGTGGGAAAAGGCAAGAGCCTGCTCTGGACTGGCCTAAAAGGAGAGCCCTCATTCTGCATTAAATCAACAAAATATGAGAGTGCTAGAAAATGTGAAAATGATTTCTAAACTACTCACGAAGCTTCCATATGCTGGCAAAAGAGTAAGAACTGAAGCAGTCTTGAAAGCTTTAACAAGTTGAAAACATGAGAAAGAAGAAATAAGCTATTAAGGGTGAAATAAATTTGGGTTAAAAACATTTCACTCTTCATCAGGGCCAATTTGAAAGCTTTCTTTCAAATCGTGGCTCTATTGAAGACAAATGTGTACGTGTACACATTTCCATTCACCCTGCCATTCAAAGCCCATTAAGAATAAAAACTGTAAATAAAGCACATCTGTTCTCCACTGTGAACTCAGAAAAGAATCTTAACCCATCCAGACGCTATGCAAATAGGAATAGAAACATGTACCACAAAGGATAAAGTGACATTTCATTGATACTTCCAAGCTAAAAATGAAACAAAAATGAGAGTTTTCTAACTGGAAACGTACTACCTCAGAGGTCTGGTATACCAAGTTCATAGTCAAAATATAAAAATGAATTTCACTACATTATTTGCATCGGATCAATGAGGCTGCACAAACCGATGTAAATTAATTTTTTAAAAAAATCAGAGACTGTACAGAGGGTGCCAAATATCAATGGATTAAAATGATACCAGTTGGTGTTCCTGTAGCAAGCCGAGAGCATTCAGATTGCAACGGTTTTGTAAAAGGATACTCCTGAGGACAACTTTAGCTGTATTAATCTCCCAATTTTCAGGAAATAACTATCATTTTTGGCTATTAGGCTAACCTACTGGATTAATCTAAATTCTAAAAAAATTCTGCTTGAACATATGAGGGTAGATTTCTCCAAGTCTCATCTGCTTCTAATTACACTAATTTATAGTTCTGGTAGATTTATTTGGATGCTTCTAATATGTACAGTATTTCTAGGCTTTTAAATTGGGACTATTATTTTTTCTTCAAATACCACAAGAAATTTAAATGTCAGGTTTTTATTAACTATGCTAACTAGACAGAAAGGAGGCATGGAAAAATGAAATTTACAAGTAATCCAAATACTTCTTTTTAGTCATTACTGTCTAATTCTTCAACTCATGTCCTGATGGTTCCCTACTTTGGTCAAGAACATCTTGCTTCTCCCACCCGATTCAAGTTTGAAAGTATGCAAGCATCTGGGCATGTCTTTATTGTATCTTTCAAAAGACTTTATTCAAAATGAAATTACTGATTTCAAATATTGTGATTTGATGTGCCCGATTCCATCTATTTGGTAAGAGTCAGGGTGTGTGTGCAAGGGGGTGAGGGTGAGGGTGAGATCCATGTGTGGTCTGTATAGCTTGGGCCTTACAGTCAATGGCCTCAGTTAAAATCCTAGCTCCACTAGGTCTCCTGTCCTAACTTTCTCTATATTCATTATCTCCATGTACTGTAAAATCATGGTAACATCTATCAGTTAGAATCGATCATCAGATAAATTCTTTCACAGAAGAGTCAATAGGACAAAGTGAAATTGGAGGAGAGGCTTGTGGGTGGGGCAGAAATTAGTCTAAATTATGCTATACACGTTTGCCAGGTCACTGCACCTATTGCAACAAGTAGTCGTACATATTTATCAAACTAGCTGAGTAACCCTTAAAATCAGTTTGCATTTTGCTGTAAGGCGATCAAATTTCCTTTCTTCCTTCTCCCTCTTGCTCTCCATAACTTTATTTTTATGAGATAGTTTTTAAAAAGAGCAATCCACAAATGTTTATTTTCTCAGCATTAGTACCCTAGACCAATCCATTAGGAACTGGAATTATCACAAGAAGGCATGTTCTTTTGAGTTCATTTTCCAAACAAAGTAAGTCATGGGATTAGTGATGGGTGAAATAAAAAATATTTCAGATTCTTTGAAACATTTAAAAATTTTTTCTCCAAAAATTGGGTTTTGGAAATACCTTCCACATGTTTTTCCAAGTATTCATCCCTTGAGAACCATGGGCATCTGAAGGAAAATTTGATTTTTTTTTCTTGAGTCTAGATTTTCCAAAGTCAAATGAAAGGTACTTTTGAGAACTTATAAACCTTTTAACGTTCCTTCATTTTAGTTTCATTTGGACAAATAGAAATAAATAAAACACTACAAAAAATATACATATGGCCAAAAAACACATTAAGAAGTACTCAGTAGCCTTAGTCTAAGGGAAATGCACATCAAAAGTGTAATGAAAAACTATACCAGGATGGCTAAAATGAAAAATGTTGACCACACAAAATGCTGCTTAGAATTTGGAGGCCGGGCGCGGTGGCTCAAGCCTGTAATCTCAGCACTTTGGGAGGCCGAGGTGGGTGGATCATGAGGTCGAGAGATCGAGACCATCCTGGTCAACATGGTGAAACCCCGTCTCTACTAAAAATACAAAAAATTAGCTGGGCATGGTGGTGCGTGCCTGTAATCCCAGCTACTCAGGAGGCTGAGGCAGGGGAATTGCCTGAGCCCAGGAGGCAGAGGTTGCGGTGAGCCGAGATCGTGCCATTGCACTCCAGCCTGGGTAACAAGAGCGAAACTCCATCTCAAAAAAAAAAAAAAAAAAAATTTTGAGCAGAGTTCTCCTACATCGCGAGAATGTAGATGAAAAAATTAGGCAAAAAATAGTCAAACATACATCTTCCTATAAGTCAGAAATTATACTTCTATTTATTTACCTAAGAGAAATTAAAATGTATGTCCACCAAAATTTTATGCAAAAATGTTTATACAGTCTGATTCATAGAGATAAAAAAATCATAATGCTCATCAGCAAGAGGATAAACTTTAGAATATTCACATAATAGACTATTACTTAGGGGTACAAAAAAGGAATAAAGTATTGATATCTGCAATGTCATGAATGAATCTCAATGCCAAGTGAAAGAAGACAGTCAAACAACAAAACCCATACTAAATGACTATTTATGTGGAATTCTAGAATAGGTAAAACTAACCTTGGTGATAGAAATCAAATCAATGGTTGCTTCTAGAGGAAAGTACTTTGTAGAGTGATAAAAATCTTCTCCTTCCCTCCTTCCCTCCTTCCTTTCTTTTTTGAGTCAGAGTCTTTGTCAACCAGGCTGGAGTGCAATGGCACAATCTCAGCTCACCGCAACCTCCGCCTCCTGGGTTCAAGTGATTCTCCAGCCTCAGGCTCCTGAGTAGCTGGAACTACAGGCACACACCACCATGCCCAGCTAATTTTTGTATTTTTAGTAGACACGGGGTTTCACCATGTTGGCCAAGCTGGTCTCAAACTCCTGACCTCAGGTGATCTGCCCACCTCGGCCTCCCAAAGTGCTGGGATTACAGGTGTGAGCCACTGTGCCCGGCCTTTCTTTTTTTTTTGAGAAGCAGTCTGGCTCTGTTGCCCAGGCTGGAGTGCAGTGAAGTGATCTTGGCTCACTGCAATTTTTGCCTTTCAGGTTGAAGCCATTCTCCTACCTCAGCCTCCTGAGTAGCTGGGGCTACAGACACGAACCATCATGCCCGGTTATTTTTTGTGTTTTTAGTAGACACGGGGTTTCACCATGTTGGCCAGGCTGATCTTGAACTCCTGACCTCCTGATCCACCTGCCTCAGCCACCCAAAGTGCTGAGATTACAGGCATGAGCCACGGTGCCGGGCCCCTCATCCCACTTCTTAGTAACAGTTTGAGAATTGATGTACTGACGGGATGAGTATTTCCATACTCTTCCCACTTTCTTTCCACTTTGTTTTACCCATGCTCACACAGATCACTCCAACCTTCTTTGCTATTTTTTGTTTTTGGCATAATTTTTTCCTTTGGAAGCAATTCTGGCTACCAGCTGTAACTCAAGCTGGCTGGAATCCAAGTTTGGCCTAGTGGCAAGTGTGTTTCTTAGGTAGGCCCCCCGAGGACAGAAGCTCAAGTTCCACCGGGCCAAGATTCAAGTTAGGCTCACTGTCAGGATCCACCACAACCATTTCTTTTCACTTTAACTCCTACCTGTTGGTAGGGGCCCTGAGGCTAGAGGCTGTGGTTCAGTCTGACCAAAATCCAAGCTTGGTCCATCATCAGAATCCGCTGCAACACTCCCCTGAAATTTTCATTTTAGATTTTACATACAATAATCCCCCAAGGGATTGTATATGTCGCTTGTTTCTTGTCACTCTGCATTTCCTCACGCATTTATTCTGTAAGCAAAGTTCCTGGAAGTTTGATCCATCACTTTCTTTGTCTCAAAAAAAAAGAAAAGAAAAGAAAAGAAAAAGAGTCTCACTCTGTCACCCAGGCTGGGCTGCACAATCTTGGCTCACTGCCCCATCTTCTGAGTTTTTAATTACACTTATTATTGATACCACCTATTTGCTATTTGACTCTTACTTCCCTGTCTAATTTGTGATTTTTGAAAAGAATTACATGTATGTGTTTTCTATTTAGGTAGATAACTTTCTCAAGGGCAGGGCTCCTGACTTATATGTCTTTGTTCCCCTCACACCTAGAACAGGTTGTACAGTTAATAGGTGTTAAGTCAATGCTAACAGTCCTGATACTTACACATTCTTCTAAAGCACGTACAGATGCTATTAAAAGCAAATGCTAATATTACCTGTCATTGGGACAGTGACTTGGCAATGTCCAGTCATGGTGTGGGTTGATGAGGAAACCCCAGGACAGGAAGACCGAGCTTGGTGTCAGAGTGCCAACCACCAGCTGGAGAGGTTTGCGAGAACGAGCTTTACCTGTGGAGGAAGCGTACAGTTTAATTCAGGAGACATTCAGTCAGTTGCCATGATTCAGGCAAAATGCATAAAGATGACTTGGCAAGATGATGAGAAATGTGAAATTATCAGTTCCTTTTCTATAATCCACATTACTATTTTTTGCCCATGAGTTTAAATGTGAATGAAACACTTTTTCAGATTTGTGTGTATGCATGTGTGCATATGGTCTATATGCATATACACATAATGTGTATTGTATACATGTCCATATTAACAATATCCAGCTACACCTAGTTTATTTTCTTGTGGGTCAGGGAAGAGTAGGGTGCTCTTAGCTGTGATCAGTGAAACAAACACATATACACACTTCATTTCTTTTACAGATAAAATAAAAGCATGTTTATTTTTTCCCTGGGACTGTGAAAGAGTGTGAAATAACATCTAAGTCAACAAAAGAAATCCTACTATCTAGATGGTAGGTAATAATTTTTTTCAACCGTTTGGAAGTGTAAAATCCCTTGTGATGTTATTGTAATAAGCGTGTATTTTATAATGAGCACCTACATGGAAAACACAAACACATTTTTTTTAACAATGCTGAAAGAGGAGGCGAAACACAGGAAACACAGTTGTTCTGATGGTGCCAACTGTATCTAAATAACGCCAAGGGTTATGTTCATAAGCCATTAAAGATGATGTTCAAGTACACAGGGGCAGGCACTTGCACTTGCAAAATTATCTGAAACCGCACACATAGGACAGCGAAAAACAGGAAGAATCTCAACCAGGAAAAGCAATGCTGACTCATGAAAAATAATCAGAGAAATAAAATAAAATCTGACACAAGGCCTAATAAAACTATCTCGAAAACATATATGCTTTGTATTGCGGTTGAATTTCCTCTCCTATTTCATCAGACTCTGCATGTCCTATTTGTTTTAGAAAGAACTGTGCTAGCTAATGAGTGGGAGCCAACCGGCAAAATGGCTTGTGACCCCGCTTAAGGTAAGCAGGAGTGCCCCTTGCATGAGCCTAGTGGTGGTCATCTGAATCAAATGCTTTTGAAAACTGAAAATTTCAGTTCTGTAAGTTGTTATTCAAGCAAAAATCCTTCTTAGCACAGAATACACCTAACCTAGTTACCAGCTCAGCAAATTGCCTCACTGTAGGATAGTTTACTTTTTAAAGATATTTGAAATAATTTTCAGAGAGAGTTATCATTGACATGGTTGGAAACATGGGTTTGTTCTTCTCTGTAACTTTTGCAGACGCAGCTGTAATTATGCCCTGTATGATGGTGACCTAAGTCATGATGTATGAGCTCCAAGGAGGGCTGATTAGAATCTGGAGTGAAGGCAGGGAGCACTTATAGTTTCAACAAGCCCTGGGATGATTCTGATTTTCCCTTTTCAATTCCTGAGTTGATTTTCACTAAGGTGATAAAATAATCGCATTCCCTTTGCGATGAAATATAAGGCACAGAGAAGTTTCAAGATTGTCCAAAGTCACACTGAGAGCAAAGTCAAAACTCAAATCTCAGGTCTCCTCAATCACAGTCTAGTTTTGTTTTTATAATATCACTGTCTTGGCTCTCAATGTATAAAGATAATGCCATTTACAGATGAAAGACATATTTTTCATTTAAGGAACCTAAGGCTTGTATGACCAAGGGAACCTAATAGTCTCCCAATCATTTGTATAACCAAATAATTATTTCACTAAGGTTGACTCTTAATATAAAAAATAAATAATTAACATTTATGTGGCAGATACAAACACAAAATGAATGGAAGCTAATCTATTAGTCATTACATTATTCCTAAACGCAGATAACAAAAACAAAAATGATACCTGCTGTCCAAAAGGAAAGGTGGAGTATTATATCCTGAGCAAGATAAGGCAATTTCCTGAGCTGCTCATAAAATAAAAACTAATTTCTAAGTCTTGTGTCATAGAATCCTCGAAATAAAATGAAATTATCAAGTGCTATGGTATAATCATTATCTTGACTTTCCTTATATAATTTTATATATTTGTATTATGATCTTTCTATCAAGAAAGAGTTCAGTGAATATTCATCTGAAAACAGATCCCATGGAATCACACGCTTCTTGAGTTTGTGGCTCAGTATTTTTGAAATACAGTCTTGAAATATTCAGAGTGTATCTATTTTCCAAGTATGTAGAAAACTGTCTGGACAACTCTCACAAGTTGTAAGGAGGGACTGGAATTTCCCTTTTGCTTTGAGATGATCTAAGAGGCTGGGAAAAAGACTTTTGTCTTTTTCAAAATGCTTGACCATTCGATGCTGGTCTTAAAAGAAGGTAAAGTCAACAGAAGAGGGGAGGGAATTGTGGCAACTGATTTCTGGCAACCAGGCTCAGAACGATGCGTCTACGAGACTGAAGAAAGGGCTGCAAAGGGCCCCTTTGCTCAGTACAATTGAAAAGCTGCGTGCTCTCTCTCCCATTTTATTCCTCTAGAAAAATATAGCAAACAAACAAAAAAGATCCTTTTTTTTTTTTGAGACGGAGTTTCGCTCTTGTTACCCAGGCTAGAGTGCAATGGCGCGATCTCGGCTCACCGCAACCTCTGCCTCCTGGGTTCAGGCAATTCTCCTGCCTCAGCCTCCCGAGTAGCTGGGATTACAGGCACGCACCACCATGCCCAGCTAATTTTTGTATTTTTAGTAGAGACGGGGTTTCACCATGTTGAACGGGATGGTCTCGATCTCTCGACTTCGTGATCCACCCGCCTCGGGCTCCCAAAGTGCTGGGATTACAGGCGTGAGCCACCGTGCCCGGCCAAAAAGATCCTTTTATTGCATGTTATCTAGTGTACCATAAAAGGTGAACACGCTTTGGAAATAATTTTTCGGAAATCATTCACATTCGAAAAACAAAAGCAAAATGTTGTGATCAACTCTATAGTTAGGAAGGTGCAACATCAGATGGAAAAGTGTATTCACAGCTTCTTCCTTATGACAATGGTCAGCTATATTATTTGATCCGAGTAGTAGTTTTGGTAGTGAAATTAGATGACATAGAATTTTAATCTTTAGTTACGTAGAAAGTTTCCACTTACTTATTTATATAACCACTTTCCTGTTTCAAGCCTTCCTAGGCCTGGAAACATGGGTGTTGCTATTATTTTTGTTTTATGAAAGAAGTCCTTCCGTTATTGAAGAGGTTTGGAAGAGAAAGACAAGGAGTAAATAAAGCCTACGTGCTGATCTATTTAGCACACATACATGAGTTATCCTTTTAAAATGTCAACTCTCTCCTTATGAAAAGGTGAGACATAAAATTTTTCCTTTAACATCTGAAAGGCACGATAGTGAGCATGAGTTTACACGCTGTAAAACAGAAACAGGCTAACCCCGAGTGAGCACGGAGAACAGGCCACACACTGCCATTCACTCATTTAATCCTCAGCAACAACCCTGTAACGCAGCAGAATCTAGGAGCAGAGAGGTTCAATAACTTATGTAATTTTCTATAGTTTGCCGGTGGTGGCACCAGGAGGAAATCCCAGCCAGGCTGTATTTCTTCTCCACAGGGTAAACTGTTGACCCAGGGCTGACACCTCCCCTACATGCCTAAAGCTTCCCAAGGCATTTGGTCTCCACGGGTCCAAAAGAGATGAAAAGTCATGGTTCAAATAAAAGAAAAATAAATGCAAAGGACTATACCTGAACATGACTTCTTTTGACTTGGAGGGGGAGCAGGTCGCACAACTATCAGATATTTCGGCTCTGCATCTGGAAACAATAACATCATTTATCAGAAAAACCCTTCAAGAACTGGCATTGCAGTCAGCACACCCATACCCTGACTCAGCATTCCCTGAGTCATCCTCTGTAACCGCAGCTCCAGGAGGCGAGAGGACCCAGTAATCTGAAAAGTTAACACTTCCTGAGAAGTCTATTAAGTCATTACAACAAAAATTAAATCCAGATTTTCCAAACCAAATGGGTAAGGGTGAGGGAGAAGTCTTAAAGGAATCATGCTATACATAGATTTTAAACCCTGTTTGCATCAGTTCTTTTCTCTGCAAAGATAAGATTGTGTTCATTCTGTTAGGCTGTTCCTCACGGATGGCCAAGCCTGATGCTTCAACACCAGAAAAGGAAAAATTCTATTTGCACAGGACATTGTGGGTCTCACCTGTATGATCCGAAAATACTCACTTTCATGAGAACAGGAATATTTATAATGTCCTTCCTAATTTGTATCCTGTTTGTTTAATTTCTCAGCCTGCTTTCATAGCTGGTCATTTTTAATGAACAATTTTTAAAGAGCCACAGTGTATAACTTGGTATAATTTTGATTTTAAATATATTTCAAGGAAATGTAAATAGGGAATCTCAAGATATTTACGTTTTAAACGAAATTTTATTAAAGCAATCGGCATATGCTAACTCAATAAGGAGCCAATAAATTATCAAATAATTTTTTAAAAATTGACTTTTGCAAGATGAATGATCAGCAACACATGTGTAAATAAACCAAATATATTCTGGCCATATGAAATAGCATTTTATAAGCAGCTCTACTGGATTGATGGGTTGATGAGTATTCTTTACAATGATTCTCCACAACTTTAAACCCTGAAACTCATTCTGTAAGAAATTTCATTTGGATGCTGTCAGCCGGAGTTCAGCCCTTCTTACTCAGGCAGACTTCCGATCTTAGTTTTCATTCTGGGTTCAAATATCTCCCCTCCATGAGTTTGCAGCAGAGGCCTTCTTGGCAAGGCTTTGCAGAGCTGACCTCATTTTTAGATGGAGACAACCTGGCAACTCAACTTCTCTTAATAACTTTTGCCTTTGTCTTTTTCTGGACACCCTTACACAACACTATTGGCTATACTGCAGTAATTACCACCGAATAAGGTAACCAAGGCAGCCTGATAAACTCACCTCAGAACTTTGCCTGATTATTGTACGGTTGTGTCCTGCCACTATGCAGATAAAGGAGCATTCATTCTGTTCGAGTCTTGTGTGTTTGAAAGCACATCCTGCTTAGTGGGACTCATAGAAAGAATGCTGGACCCAAACAAAATAAACAAGGTTCCTAGGAATACAATAACCATTTCCTGATTTTTAGATATACGGCAATAAACTACCATGTACTGAGTGCTTTCTAAGTGCAGGATACTATATGCAGAATCTTATATCCATAATTTAATTACTCTCTCTTTTTTTTTTTTTTTTTTTTGAGACGGAGTTTCGCTCTTGTTACCCAGGCTGGAGTGCCATGGCACGATCTCGGCTCACCGCAACCTCCGCCTCCTGGGTTCAGGCAATTCTCCTGCCTCAGCCTCCTGAGTAGCTGGGATTACAGGCACGTGCCACCATGCCCAGCTAATTTTTTAGTATTTTTAGTAGAGACGGGGTTTCACCATGTTGACCAGGATGGTCTCGATCTCTTGACCTCGTGATCCACCCACCTTGGCCTCCCAAAGTGCTGGGATTACAGATGTGAGCCACCGCACCCGGCCTAATTACTCTTATGGCAATCCTACCTGGCACTACTATTATCAGCTCAATTTGTAGACAACATAAATGGGGAAGGGTTGACTTCATGGGCATAGAGCATATACAGTCACATGGGCCCCATGCTCAGAAGACCCCCATGCTTGGTTTAAAGTCCTGCTGTAACCACCTTGAAATTCTTAATACTTTTGTCTTTGAGCTTGTGTTTTGCAAGGGAAGCCTCATGGGACAATGGAGTGTGCACATGAGTGGAGAAAACAGGAGCAACACGCACCTCTGCATTTCCTTGCCTCCCCAACATTTACGGCATCGGACGTATCCAGTATCACGTAACTCCAAAGGAACCATCATGTGTGGGAGTTCAGCAAGACTCAAAGGTACAAAGAGGTAAGTATGTCACATTTACCATTCAGTAAAGGGGTAAGGAGGGGGACACGGGAGACCTGTGAGAGGCTGTACTTTCCATTGGAAACAGACCTTGCTTTAGAGGCAGTAAGAAAGCAAGGGCATTTTAAGAAATGTGAATGACCACGAAACCCTATCATATCCTTTCTTACTCATGTATTAGCCAACCACTTATGCGGAAAATGATAAAGGAGAAAAGAAAAAGATCGGGAAATCCGTACTTCCTTTTCAATTCTTCCTCATTCAGAAATAAGCTGAAGGAAGAGTATTGGTAGAATGTGCACATAGCAAGAAGTGAAATAAGCGGCTGAATTAGTTTTGTGCAGCATTTTCGCTATTCTGGTTGGAACAAAATACATAAGCATATATGTATCAAGTGCAAAATACAAACTGTGCAATTTCAGTAATTTCGCTTACTAGTGAAATTACTAATTAAAGGCTCTGACATTTGCATTTAAATCTGGGATTGCACAATACAAAGATAAAAAGTAGGCTTCATGCTAATAATTTTAAATTTAAAATTTTCTTTACTAAGACGTCAATCACATTGTGATAAAAGGAGAAACCACAAAAAGGAAAAAGCTTTTTATTTTAGTACCTTTAAGATCAATTTTTTCACATTCTTAAACTAGGGGCCCTGCATTTTTATTTCATTCTTGGCCCTGTCAACTATAGTAAGCAAAATATTCTCAATAAATCTCAGAAATTCACTTTAGAAAACAAACCCCCTCGTTTTCCTAAACTGTTCTCACTCTAGCAGAGTCTCTTAGAGCTAACCTTTTAGATTCTTCCTTGATATGGATTAATTGTGCCTAATACCTACATGTTTTTTTTTTTTTAAGACCTGAAACACTAGAGAAATAACATATACAGAAGCCAAAGAGAGTGCCATGATCAAGACGTGGCTATATGAGCAATTTAAAAATATCTTTTGTTATGACTGCAGTCATTTTGCATAAAGCATAGGCTGTTACAGCCAATTACAAATTGGAACAAATGCCATTACCTGAGTGCACATATTGGCTCCTACTGCTCATTAACTATTTCCAACATACATGTACTTTCGGAGACTTTGTGCTCTATTGGGGACACAGGTGTGGAAAAATAAAACTAAAGAATAGGATTTCTACTTGTGTTCTGTACAAAAAAAATCTTTGTGGATTTATAGTAGCCTGGAAGTATTTACATTGTAGATTGAAATTCTGCTAATATGCATTACTTCATTTAGAAAGACATAGAAGTAAAGTATCAATTTAGGAGAAGTTGCAGAGAATGCAGTTACCTTAACAAAGTTTCCATTCCTAATAGTTAACTCTATACAATGTTGCAGACTAAGTAAACCAAATTTGCTTAATATTTTGAATGCCCCATGGTGGAGGACAGGCACAGTTTACTGCTTAAAGAAATCTACTGTTCGGTGGCTCACGCCTGTAATCCCAGCACTTTGGGAGGCCAAGGTGGGTGGATCATGAGGTAAACAAAACGAGACCATCCTGGCCAACACGGTGAAACCCCATCTCTACTAAAATAAAAAAAATTAGCTGGGCATGGTGGCGCGCACCTGTAGTTCCAGCTACTCAGGAGGCTGAGGCAGAAGAATTGCTTAAACCCGGGAGACGGAGATTGCAGTGAGCCGAGATAGTGCCCCTGCACTCCAGCCTGGCGCCTGGCGACACAACAAGACTCTGTCTCAAAAAAAAAAAAAAAAAGAAAAAAGAAAAAAAAAGAAATCTGTTGAAATATTTTATTAAGTACTAATTTTTTAGTAATACTCTCATCGTTGCAGTTTGATAAATGCCAGTGTTCACATTTGGGTCTGCCCGCATTAGAGGATGCCTGCATTGCAAGCGTTCCTGCTTCAGAATGTCGTCACAGGGAAGTCAAGTTCTGCCATGCAAAGTTTTTGCCATTAAAGTGTCTACAAAATAAACAAGAAATAAACCAAGATAATCCTAAAAGAAATTAGGGAAGGAGGTCTGATAAAGGCCCTTGTCATGTTTAACAATTTGTTGTTGTTGTTGTTAAACAAAATTTCTGGACATAAGAGCACAGACTCTGGAAACATTACATCCTATGCAGCTATATACAAACTGCAACAAGTGAAAGTACTTAACCTCTGTGTGCCTCAGTTTCCTGCAAAGTAGGAAAAATCATGCATAGTCTCAAAAGCTTCTTAAAGATAATTAAAGCTGTAAAAACGTGAGCATGGTGGCTCAGGCTGTAATCACAGCACTTTAGGAGACCGAAGATCGCTTGAGCTCAGGAGTTTGAGACTAGCCTGGGCAACATTACACAAATTATCCATGCATTATAGTGAGGACCAGTAGTCCCAGCCTGAGGAGGCAGAGGTTGCACTGAGCTGAGATTGCACCCCTGCACTTTAGCCTGGGTGACAGTGAGACCTTGTCTTAGGAAAAAACAAAACAAAACAAAACTTTAACAATGCCTAACACAAAAAAAGTATGGATTAAGGATTAGTAACAGTGACGATTTCTAGAAAGCAGAATTTGGATTCTACAAAGTCTAAGGACATATTACAAAGGAAGAAAACGTTTAAAAAATCTTTACAGCAAGCATCACAGGCTCCAAAATGCAAGCATTTTGCAATAAACATTACAAACCAAACTCATTCGTAAATATTGATGAAGAAAATCCTAAAAATATACTGACAGGACCTTAAACCAATCAGAATCTGGATCTGACAGCACATAATACAATAATAAATTAACCAACTATAATTTATCCCAGGAATGTAACATTAAAAAAAAAAGGAAGCCTATTTCCACAGGTGCTGAAAAGTCAATTGACAAAAATGTAATACTAATTCTGAATAAAGAAGAATTCAGTGGAATATTGAT